CCTGTAAGCTGGGAAGCCCTGGGACCCCCATGCTCCTAACCGCCACGGGAGAACATCTGCGGCCCCCCGCCTTGGTCAGGGGTGCACGGCAGCACTGCCAGGGAGCCAGAGCAGACCCGAGACTCCTGGAGCGTCCCAGGCCCCTGGGCACACCAACGTGTCACCAAGGTGGGAGACACCTGAGGGTGTCTACTCCCACCTGCGCAAGTCAGTGACTTCACCTCTCACTTTTTGGAAGCAACCATCAGTTACTGAAAGGGGGCACTGTGGTGTGGACGGGTGCTTGACAGACACACGCACCTGGTAGAAATGCGTCAGTATTCGCAACTGCGAGCACATTTTTGGTATAGATTCTTGGAATTCTCGAATCCTCTTGTTCTCCTCGTCCTCCTCTGCAGCCGTCACTCCCCACTGGCCCTGAAGAACCAAACACACTGAACTCAATTGACATCTCAAGGGGAAACCACCTGTAGCAGTGGCCACACACAGCATGTCAGGAGCGGGGCGCCTCTGCTGGCCCTGCTGTGTCGGCCCACACTCCTGCGACAACTTTCTGTAACTATGCCTCTCAAATAAAATCTTAAAAAAAAACCACAACACACCACTTTGTAACAATCAATGTAACAGTGTCAACTTGTTTTCAACACTGCTGCAGTAAGTCACCTGGGACCCCGAGTCTTCTCCGCATGTTTTAGTAAGAGCGAGCAAGGACTGAAACAGGAGCCACCAGGTTCACCTGTGGGCACCCCTGAGCCCTGCACCTGCCTGCCTCCTGGGCGCCTCCCTGCTTCTCAGAGCACCCGCCCTTTGTGCACTGGCGATGACACAGCATCCGTTTCTATTTAAAAAGAATGCCTCCAACCAATGGCAAATCTGACAACATGTCTTCTAGCCAGCAAATCCAAGAACTATCACTGGATTTCTTGCCTTTTTCAACTAATACGGCGAATTACGTCACTTGATTTCCTGAACGCTGGCATTTATCCTTTTAATTCTACTAGGTTTTATGCAAGATCTTTCCATCAGTATTCGCGACCCAGATTTATTCTCTTTCCAAGTTTGGTACCAGCCTCAGGGTGCTTCCCAAATGGGATCTGGAAACGACTTTCCAGACTGGACAAGCACAGCACTCCGACCTGGCTGCGAGGGCCCCGGGGCTGCTCTGCAGGCCCCAACCACGCCCTCAGTGGTGCCACCTCAGCTATTTCATTTCTTCTCCAGCAGTCTGATCTGGCCTTCTCTTCTAGGTCCTCTGGAAACGTGCAGAGAATCATTAACCTCCCTGCAGAGCGGAGCTCCTGTGTGTACGTGCACTGTGCCCTCGTAACGAGTCTGGGGTGGTGGGATGGTGGCGCCAGCTTTAAATGTGCAGCGCTGGCCGGCGCCGAGGCTCACTAGGCTAATCCTCCGCCTAGTGGCACCGGCACACCGGGTTCTAGTCCCGGTCGGGGCGCCGGATTCTGTCCCAGTTGCTCCTCTTCCAGGCCAGCCCTCTGCTGTGGCCAGGGAGTGCAGTGGAGGATGGCCCAGGTGCTTGGACCCTGCACCCCATGGGAGACCAGGAAAAGCACCTGGCTCCTGGCTCCTGCCATCGGATCAGCGCGGTGCGCCGGCCGCAGCGCGCCGGCCGCGGCGGCCATTGGAGGGTGAACCAACGGCAAAAGGAAGACCTTTCTCTCTGTCTCTCTCTCTCACTGTCCACTCTGCCTGTCAAAAAAAAAAAAAAAAAAAATGTGCAGCGCTAAGTTCGCTCTGTGAAGGCACCACACAGGCAGTGACATCTGTGACTCGCAAGTGGTGAGGGGCCCTCTACCTTAGAGCACCTCACGCATCCTCAGGACATGAGCACAGCTGTGAGCACGGGCGGGGGCGGGGGCGGGGGCGGGGGCGGGGGCGGAGCCGGATGGCAGCAGCATGGCCACAAGCCCGCCCAGAACGCAGAGCGGCAGTGTGGAGCCTACCTCGGCCTCACGCTGCTGCTTCTTCTCCTCAAACTGCAGCCGCCTCTGCAGCTCCTCCAGCGCCGCCCTGTAGATCGCATCCTGAGCGTTCTGAAGCTCAATAATTTGGTCAAACACGGCTCGGAGCTGGTTCAAAAGTACCTGAAAAGACACATACCATCAAGCTTAACGTGTTTTCAAATAAAATGTTGCTACTTCAAAAAAATACACTTGGTGGGGCTGGTGCTGTGACAACGTAGGCTAAGCCTCCGGCCACGGCGCCAGCATCCCATATGGCGCTAGTTTGAGTCCCGGCTGCGCCTCCTCCGACGCAGTTCTCTGCTATGGCCTGGGAGAGCAGCAGCAGATGGCCCAAGGTTGAGCCCCACACCTACACGGGATACGCGAGGAAAGCCCCTGGCTCCTGGCTCCCGATGGGCTCAGCTCTGGTCTTTGCGGCCACTGGGGGAGTGAACTGGCGATGGACAACCTTTCTCTCTCTCTTCCTCTCTCTGTAACTCCACCCCTCAAATAAATAAATAAAATCCTTAAAAAAAATACTCGCTAACACACACACACACACTCACTAGCTATGGTTTCCATGTGGCTTGTCCGAGGCTCGGGAGACTGGACTGTGCTCAGCAGGGCGGGCTGTGAAGGGGAGTGGGCGCTTGCCGGCCCTCTCGCTGCCTGCCCTCTGCCTGCGAGCAGCCAGCAGCAAAGCGCCTGACGAGCCGCTTTTCCTTAGCTGCTACACAGTCCCAGGGAGTGTGTTCTAGACAGAACTCAGGCCTGCGACGACGCAGCCAGGTCAAACGCCAGGCCCCCAGGCGGATCATGTGCCCGGTTCCTGATGCAATAACCTCCAATTCTCAAACCAACCTCAAAAAGCAAAATTCAGACCATTCCCAGCTGGGCTAGCAGTGGAACTACCGCAAAGACGAGGAGGAATGGGATGGCAGCTGGTGGTTGTTATTTCTGACATATCAAAACCAGGTACAGAGACCATGAGAAAGGAAATCCCTGGTAAAATACAGAAACCAAATTCAGCAAAGTAAAAAAAAAAGGGGGGGGGGCGAGGTTAGCACCTCTTATAGCTAGAATGAAAGGGTGGTTTAACACTGAAAACAAAATTCTTCACATTTTAGAAATCCATTTCTGTTCTACTTTTTTTTTTATTTATTTATTTGAGGTAGACAGTGAGAGAGAGAGAGAGAGAGAGAGAGAGAGAGAGAGAGAGAGAAAGGTCTTCCTTCCGTTGGCTCACCCCCCAAATGGCCGCCACGGCCGGAGCTGCAGCCATCTGAAGCCAGGAGCCAGGTGCTTCCTCCTGGTCTCCCATGGGGTGCAGGGCCCAAGCACTTAGGCCATCCTCCACTGCACTCCCTGGCCACAGCAGAGAGCTGGCCTGGAAGAGGAGCAACCGGGACTAGAACCCACACCCACATGGGATGCTGGTGCTGCAGGTGGAGGATTAACCAAGTGAGCCACGGTGCTGTCCCCTAGAAATCTATTAACAGCACGGCACACTGGTAACTGTCCCACAGTGATCGTCACACGCCCACCACGTTTCCGTGAGTCTTCCTCCATGTGTGGCACAGAAAGAAGTGAGGGAGATGGACTGAGCTCATGAGCTGGAAGCCAGGCCCCCCATTTCATGTGACCAAATCTACTCGCCTGTCAATCAGACGACCCCTTCCCCAGGAAGTATTTCCCCCTACCCAAGACCTGGGGACAGTACCGTATAAACACTTCCGTTTTCTAAGCTCACAGGAGTAGGGGAAAGCAAAAGCTTGCTTTGTCTCTCCTCACGGACCCAGAGCAAGCAAGATAGGGAGTCCCTCTTTACTTCCCCAGGCCCATTCTCACTGAATAAAGCTCACAAGTGCGTGTGTGTGCCTCACTTTGTAAATAAACACTGTCGCACTGCACGGCACCTCTGTGCCTGTGCTTTGAGTTCCGCCTGAAGTAGAAAGCAAGAGTCTGGAACAGAAATTTAGGCCCAACCCAGCCCACAACAGAAGGGGATGATAAAACCTACAGCACTCAATCACTTATGCCTGTTAAAACAATGCACACATGGGCCGGCGCCGCGGCTCACTAGGCTAATCCTCTGCCTTGCGGCGCCGGCACACCGGGTTCTAGTCCCGGTCAGGGCGCCGGATTCTGTCCCGGTTGCCCCTCTTCCAGGCCAGCTCTCTGCTGTGGCCCGAGAAGGCAGTGGAGGATGGCCCAAGTACTTGGGCCCTGCACCCCATGGGCGACCAGGAGAAGTACCTGGCTCCTGCCATCGGATCAGCGCGGTGCACCAGCTGCGGCGGCCACTGGAGGGTGAACCAACAGCAAAGGAAGACCTTTCTCTCTGTCTCTCTCTCACTGTCCACTCTGCCTTTCAAAAAGAAAAAAAAAAAAAAAAACAATACACACAGAAAATGGCACACATACACACAGAGGCCACAGAGCAGACGTGTGGTGGGGAAGGAGGGTGACAGAGGAGGGGACCAGAGATGGGTGGGGGAGGGGATAAAAGTAAACCCAAGCGTGATGAAAGGACAGGTTCTCCCGGAAGAGAGGAGACCGACTCTCCCTCTGCAGTCTCGGTTATAAAACCCTTCAGCCATGGGGAGGGGTAGCTAATTTCAACCACACGGAAAAACTCCAGAGATAAAACTGAACTCATGATTTAAATAAAGCACCCAAGCAAAACAAGCCTGGAGTGGCACCTCCTTAATTCAACACAGGTGCTGGCGGAGGGCACCCGCAGAACATGACTCCCCTGTGCTCAGGATCAACCCAGGCACACTCGAGGCGAAAGGCGGCAGAAGGCACACTGTGCGGAATGACAGAAGTCTTCTTACTGTGAAAAACGTTCCAAGAAATTACGAGAAAAATAGGTAAGAGATTAAAAGAAATATATCAAAAGTGTCCCAGCATCCAACCACTGTGGCAACAATCTAATGAGATTTGCAAGGGACATATGGGAACCAAAAGCAACTAATTGTTTCAAGAAAAGTCTCACCTACATGAATCACGAGGCATGAAAGAAACCTGGGTCCCTGGAAGACAATGCAGCTGACCTGGACCCGGGTCCCTGGAAGACAATGCAGCTGACCTGGACCCGGGTCCCTGGAAGACAAGGCAGCTGACCTGGACCCGGGTCCCTGGAAGACAGTGCAGCTGACCTGGACCCGGGTCCCTGGAGGACAAGGCAGCTGACCTGGACCCGGGTCCCTGGAAGACAGTGCAGCTGACCTGGACCCGGGTCCCTGGAAGACAGTGCAGCTGACCTGGACCTGGGTCCCTGGAAGACAAGGCAGCTGACCTGGACCCGGGTCCCTGGAAGACAAGGCAGCTGACCTGGACCCGGGTCCCTGGAAGACAAGGCAGCTGACCTGGACCTGGGTCCCTGGAAGACAGTGCAGCTGACCTGGACCTGGGTCCCTGGAAGACAAGGCAGCTGACCTGGACCTGGGTCCCTGGAAGACAAGGCAGCTGACCTGGACCCGGGTCCCTGGAGGACAAGGCAGCTGATCTGGACCCGGGTCCCTGGAAGACAAGGCAGCTGACCTGGACCCGGGTCCCTGGAAGACAGTGCAGCTGACCTGGACCTGGGCTGCACGCAGCGGACAACCCTCGGCTGGGGAGGCCGGGCTCACGGCTCACTCCGCAGGACAACCTCCAGCACTGCTACGGCCCACACGGCACTCACCAAGTCCCTGCAGCAGCAGCAGCAGTTGAGCCAACGTTTGAGCTCACACGCAACAGAACTGGAGGAGTATTAGCGACATGACTCTCAGAACAAGCCAATTCAAGAGCACTCAGACACGACGAAACAACACTTTATGACCTCTCACTTTCCAAACGCACCTGGCTAAACGGGGTCTGTAAGTGGCACAGCACCAGCCGTGCTGGCTTGCTTCACCCCAGAAGGCGGGCGGAGTGTAGGAGGCAGCACACCCTTCACGTTTAAGAGTTGTTTTGTCCTCTATGGCCATTCCACCCTGAACATACCCAGTCTCCTCTGATCTCAGAAGCTACGCAGGGTCAGGCCTGGTTAGTGCTTTTGTCTTTCTTAGGGTATTTTATACTGAAAAAGCAAAACAAATTACTACTTTGTTTTCAATAATACCAGTTTGTACCACTTCTCTATGTGATTTGGGAGTTTTCTCAAACAAAAACACAAATGCACAAACCTTGCAAGTGGTACCTGTCATGACAGGGGTCAGAACTACTTCAGATCCCTTAGCAAGCAGTGCAACAGAAATAAAACACTTACAACAGCTTGTCAGCAACAGCGTTTTGATCTGTTTATTATATATTGTTACTTTAACAACCACCCACCTCGGGCCAGCACTATGGCGTAGCAGATTAAACCTTCACCTGCAATGCCAACATCCCTATGGGCACTGGTTCGAGTCCCGGCTGCTCCACTTCCAACCCAGCTCTCTGCTAAGGCCTGGGAAAGCAGCAGATGATAACCCAAGTACTTGGGCCCCTGTACCCACATGGAGACCCAGAAGAAGCTCCTGGCTTTGGCCTGGCCCAGCTCTGGCCACTGTGGCCTTTTGAGGAGTGAACTAGCAGATGGAAGAGTACCTATAGTCTCTCTCTCTCTCTCTCCGTGTGTGTGTGTGTGTGTCCCTATCTCTGACTCTACCCTTCATATAAATGTGAAAAATCTTAGCAACAAAAACAATTCTAGTGACTACTTAGGAACAAAACTAAGCAAAGGCACAAGATCAGAAAGCCCCGCTGAGCCTCCAGCACTTCTCCGGGGAAGCCGGGAGGGCTCACAACACGCCGTGGGCAGACATCGGCCCTCAGGCAGCAGCGTCTCCTCCGGGGACGGGGCTCCCGTGAGTGGAGGCTCCAGAGGTGCGAGTGCAGACCACGCCGTGGGCAGACATCGGCCCTCAGGCAGCAGCGTCTCCTCCCGGGACGGGGTTCCCGTGAGTGGAGGCTCCAGAGGTGTGAGTGCAGACTCCCTACCTCTGTGTGCTGAACTGCCCAGACTGCTACTTACTCACCTGTGTTCACGTTGGGCGTAATCCTTGTAGTCCAAATGTTTTGTAATCAAGTGATTACAAATATTCTTGCAACACACACAGAACACAAAAATGACTTAATTGCTTAAAAACAGTAGCTACTGGGCCGGTGCTGTGGCACAGTGGGTAGGCTGCCTCCTGCTGCGCCAGCATCCCATATGGGAGTCGATTCGAGACCCGGCTGCTCCATTTCCGATCCAGCTCTCTGCTATGGCCGGGGAAAGCAGTGGAGGATGGCCCAAGTCCTTGGGCCCCTGCACCCACTTGGGAGACCTGGAGGAAGCTCCTGGCTCCTGGCTTCGGATCGGCACGGCTCCTGCCATTGCAGCCAACTGAGGAGTGAACCAGCAGATGGAAGACCTCTCTCTTTGTCTCTCCTTCTCTCTCTGTGTAACTCTGACTTTCAAATTAAATAAATAAATCTTTAAAAAAAAAAAAAAAACAGTAGCTACTAACAGCTATGTATCAGCCTTTATAGTGGACATTTTACATGAATCACGGTAGATTTTAATTCTTACCAATCCACTGTGAAGAGACCAGCATCGGCCCTTTCCCAAGAGAAGCAGGTGTGAAGCGGGACCCAAGCCTGGGTCTGCGGCCTGCAGACTCCCAGGTGGGCGAGCACCTGCCCTCCAGCACACAGCAGGGAACACCTCAAGCCCAAGTCCCATGGCCTACTGGTTACCACAGCAACACATGGACCAGTGTTCTGAGGATGCCCACTAACGCCAGTGAAGAACATACTAACTTCTCCCGACAGAAAAGAATGTCAGCAAGAGGTCTGGAGCCCCGGGAATGCTGTGGACCGTCTAGATGAGCTGTTTCCTCACTCCTATAGATATCGACTCCACGCAGTGAAAGTATAGAAAGACCACCACTAGATGCAGAAATGCACGCCCTGCCGAAGGCACGACATACATTTCTTCACGCCATTCTTCAGCACTTTCATACATGTTACGTGTTTTGTTCTGCTTCTCAGTTTATTTTCTCAGAAATTATCCTTCCGCAACTCAAAACCATCATTCACAGTTAATTTTCTCTTTGAACACCCCAGCAGGAGGTGATTAGGGACCATCTTTAAAGGCTTGTTATTTATTTACTTAAGCTACTCACAAGGCAGACAGCCAGACTTCTCCCAACCACTGGCTCACTCCCCAGGTGCCCGGGATCAGGAGCTCAGTCCAGGTCGCCCTGTGGGTGGCAGGGACCCAACTACCTGACCGTCACCTGCTGCCTCCCAGGGTGTGCATTAGCACAGACCCGGAATCAGAGGCAGAGCCAAGACTCAAACTCAGGCACTCCAACGTGGGGCGTGGGGTTCCAACAAGCACTTCCAGGGCTACGCGAAACGCCTGGCCCTGACCCCCCATGTGCACAGCCGGTTAGACCTGAGGCACATCCCTGCTTCAGGACGGCTGTTCCAATGCTGTGAGAAACACGGCACTCAAACAGCAAGCCTGCAGTGAAATCGTGCGAATGGCAACGCCGCGGCCGCCACCAGGCGGTCTCCAAGACTCCCTCTGACGGAGCCCAAGACCCCGGATCCCAGCGTCCTCTTCTTACCCTGGAGTCGGCGTCCAGCAGACAGCGGGAGATGATGGTATCCAGGAACACTTCGTGGGCAGCTATGATGTGGTCCAGGTCCTGGGCCCGCTGCACTTTGTTCCAGAGCTCATCCCAAGAGCACTCGAGCACCTAGGAAAGGTGAGGCCGCGTCCTTCCCTCACACACAGGCCAGCGCAGTCACGGCCGTGACGCTGCCCTGCTGAGGAAACGTACCTCAAACGTGATGTAGTACTGCATCTGGTGGATGAAGTGCACCATCTCGGAGGCCAGGATGTGGCACTGGTGCAGCACCCCGGAGAACTCTGCAGGGAGGCAGAGGGCACACGTCAGACGGGGCCTCCCGGCTCACAGATCCTCTTTCTGAAGAGAGCACTGGCTGTAACTCCTGGCCCCTTAGCAGGGAACACTCCCATGACCACGTCCTGTGATACTCAAGCTAAACAAGGACTTAGCTATCAAATCGAGGAGTTATATTACTTTACCACCTATTAGGACCTTATTAGGAATGGCATGAAACACAATGTATTTAAGTGTTAAATACAGAAGTTTCACTTTAACACAATACAGTAAGTTGCACGGAACTCAAGCTGTTTTATGGTTTCTACTCTGCACGAAAGACTTCCGGTTCCCTGGTGATCTGGACAGGACGGGCACCTCCTAGGGACTGACCGTGCACTTGTCCCCTCTGCAGAGGCCGAAGTCGGACTCTGCAGAGCTCCTCACGCAGTCAGCCAGCCACCAGGGGCTCGAAGTCCCTGGGGTGCAGCTTTCCTACAAGCACTTCTGTTCAACAGCCGCACTAGAGTACGTCACACAGACATGCTCGACATTAGGCCTGGTGGCAGAGTGGCCACGGGAATCTGTGGCAGGGGCCAGACGGGACATCTGTAGCTGTCTCTCCAGATGCCCTCAGCGAGCTACACAGCCTCAAGGCAGGGCTGTGCATCACACTGGACGGCGGGTGAGAGTAGCAATGAAGTGGGCTACAAACAGGTGTGTGAAACCACAACATATCCGCTACAGCACTGTGGCAGAGCAGATGAAAGCCTGCCTGCAATGCAGGCATCCCATGAGGGCACTGGTTCTGGTCCCGGCTGCTCCACTTCCGAGCCAGCTACCTGCTAATGGCCTGGAAAAGCAGTGGAACGTGGCCCAAGTATTTGGGTCCCTGCTACCCATGTGGGAGACCCGGACGAAGCTCCTGGTTCCTGGCTTCAGCCTGGCCCGCCCTGGCCTCTGAGGTCATCCAAGCAGTGAACCAGCAGATGGAAGATACTTTTCTCTGTGTGTCTTTGTAACGCTGCCTTTCAAATAAACACATAATCTTAAAAAAGAAAAAACCCACCTAAGTGTTTAAAACAACAAAACACTCCTCTGTGCAGGGTAGGGGCTGAGTGACACTGGGGACTCTGCTGTCCCGGCTCACCTTGTGCCGTCTGGCCACAGGGACAGCAAACGTCAACAAACGACAGACAAGCATAAACTGCAGGTGCAAACTGCTAAGTGCTGTACAGGATCGATGAGACGGGTGAGCCGCACATCTGTGCAATGGTGAGGAAGAAATGGCAGGGGAGACGTCAGTCAGGCCCCAGGCACGCGGCCTCACAGCGGGGCCAGGGAGAGGGGCTCTGAGAAGACAGGCAGATTCCTGAAGCCGACGTGGACGCGTGCCACACGGCCACTCTCTCCTCATGAGAAAAGCAGTGAGGACACCCTGGACGCAGTGAAGACCAGCGCTGGCAACAAGAAAAACTGCTTTAAAAATACGTTTCAGAAGATAAAAGAAACAGAAATAAGAAATTTGTTTTCAAGGAGGGAGAAGTATTTCTCTTTAGAGATAAATTGAGACTGGGAGAATGGACACACCTTTCACGTGGCTGAAATCAACTTTTTTTTTTTTTTGACAGGCAGAGTGGACAATTATAGAGAGAGACAGAGAAAAAGGTCTTCCTTTGCCGTTGGTTCACCCTCCAATGGCCGCTGCAGCCGGCACACCGCACTGATCTGAAGCCAGGAGCCAGGTGCTTCTCCTCTGCCACTCTTGGGAATCCACACCCAAGCACCTCAGAATAGGCCAAGCTTCAGGGCTCATTTGAGGCCCAGGATGAAGAGTACCCTCTCTCCGTGGAAACCACGACCAGACACCAGGATCACCCAGGGGAGTGCCTGCGTTTGAGCACCGCACCCCCTGCCCTCAGCTTCCTGGTGATGCTCAAGCCGCTGCGGCCCGTGTCCATGCAGGTCACCCAGCCCGAGTGCCCCACCTGAGGCTTCGGCCTGGTCCACTCCACTCCTGGCTGTTGTGGGCATTTGGGGAGTGAACCTGCAGATGGGGCGTCCCCTCTCTCTCCTTCAAGTAAATTAATTAATACTTTTTTAAAAAGGATTTCTAATCTAGCACTCAAAGCCTATTCAACTGAAATTAATTTTCAATGTAAAAAGGCATCATAAAGTGTTGTTTTAAGTAGCGGTCTGCTGTGTTACTGTTTAAGCTTCCATGGGAAATAACTCCCACCTTACTGGTGTTGGGTTTAAACCTGGAGCCCAAATGACAGAACCACACCCCTCACCCTGGTCCAGTCAGGGTCCAACCTGGGCGAGCCAGGCCTGCACCACCGTCTGCGTGTCAGCGCACGTGTGACACTGCCAGTTCTCGAGACCTTCCTACAGGAGTCGCTCTCTGTGGTGCAGCAGTTGTGAGCGGGTGTAGGTGCCGCCTATGGGGCAGCTTTCCCCAGTGTTCTTCATCCTGTGCTGGTCCTGGCGAAACACTAACAACGGCACAAATCCTGCAGAGTGACACTCGGGCCTCCCCTCTCCGCGTCCGTGCCAAGGACATTCCCACAACCCCTGGCTTCGCTCTCAGAGGGAGCAGCACGTGCCGATTCCCTCGTCTCTGACACAGCTCTGTCTTGACAATTCTCCCAGAGAACACAGCACGACGGACGGCGCTGCAGCTCTCCCGGGAAAGCCGTGGTGGGCCTGGCCTGCACGGCTGGGGTCTCCCCCAGCAGCACCACAGCAACAGGCTGACTTCCCACATTTCACGTTTGATCTCCTAACCATGAAACCAGGATCTGTTCTCTGGCTTCTCAGACTGGATACAAAACACAGGGGATAACCATGAATTCTGTTTTGTGATCTCCGATTTCCCTTCACTACTGATTAATGTTCTCGATGCTTTAACGTCCCTACAATTGGAAATGAAAATGCAAGCAAGTGGCGGCAATATCAAATATATCTACAGAAACCTCACCACGTAATGCTGGAGTGCGGACTTACCTGCCCCCCCCCCCCCCGCACTCTCCTGGCAAGGGAAGGACCACCAGGTGCCACAGCCTAGCTGCCTGCTGTTAGCCGTGCAGCACCCCTGCACCGGAGCACGGGGTCTGCCCAGGGCCAACCCTGCTCGGCTCTCAGGCACCATCTCAGTAGCACGTGCCCCTTGGCACCGCCACCCTCCCGAGTATGACGTTTTCTTCCAGGAGGCCCACACCTTCCTCTACCTGGACGTCAGCTTCCCAGCTCACCCGCCACCGCTTCCCCTCTGCAATTCCTACAGCACGAACAACTCACCGTGCTGTGTGTACTCCGTCCTACCCCAGTAGGCAACAAAGCTCTGCACCACAGGGTCTGCTTGTCGCATGTGTCACCAGATGCCAGCCCCGGCAGCAGAGAACACAGCCTCCAGCACTGCTCTGAGTGACGGGGACACTCCCAGTGAGAGCAGACAATCTGCATTCACCTACATCTCGAGGACACAAATGCTTTCAAAAGGTTCCATGATCAAGGGCAACTTGGCAACAAGGCTAATGCATAAGTCCCTTCTTTTTAGATCTTACAGCACTGCCAACTTACACATTTTTCTCCCTAGAAAAACCGTCTTCCCAGTGGCTAGCACGAGTACAAGGACAGCACCTTCAGGGCCTCCTCTAGACAGAGGTTCTGCAGGGAGCAGAGACGGCTGCTTTGAGGACACTGCCGACTGAGAGCCCAGGAAAGCTGTGCACGTCCTGCAAGTCGGAAATCCACACAGCACTGCCAGTGCACAGTAACCCTGAACTCCTAACTGCTCTGCACCTCCAAGTACTGGGAACTCAGCTCGCAAGGCACAGTGCACTCCTTCAACTCCACAAAAACACAGTTTACACGTGAGCGCCTTTAGACTGTACCTCGCACTCTGAAGGTACACTGAAAACACACGCAGGCCTCCTTCTGACAGCTGACCCACAAGTGGCTGCACTAACAAGTGCCCCAGATTCAGAGCAACACTGGCACCCAGGTACAGCGGACGCGTGAAGTCTGCCCCCTGCTGGCTACGTCCCTGCCACAGGGTTCCCTACAAAACAAGATCAGAGGTGGTCTCCTTCCACGCTTCTCTACTGCCCCCCAGTGGCTCACCTACACTCTGCAGCCCTGCCACACAGCTCCCACTCTTGGAAGCAGCCCTGTGAGCCGCACTGGGCACTGCTAAAAATCACGAAGGTGTTCCGGGGAAGAGCTCCCAGAACTACTCCTCCAACCTCACCCTCAGCTGCACGCGTACCTGATCTTACAGTACATACAAGTGACTACCAGTGCCCGTCTCGCTGACTTTTCTCAAAGCTAAGGATTCGAACGGTGCTTTAAAAAGCCAGGATTTGCTCGGTATCTTGCTCACAGGTTCTCCTCACAACATCATTTGGGATTTGCTCCCTGTGTCCCTAGACAAGTAATTCCTGGGATCCCCGCCAGCCAGGCATTTAATGCTGAGCCCTCAGAAGTGAGTGCCTTCATCACGCCTCGCCGCAGGGGAGGGGACCGAGGGAGAGGGCTAGGCGAGCTGAACACAGCCCTGGTGAAGGGTGGTGCGGCGGCGGCCCCCAGGCACCACAGTTCAGCATCTGTGCTGGAAACGAACCACTGAGCGTCAAGTCTCACTACGCGTGCAGCAGGCAGAGAGAACTGCGCCGTCTGCATCGTCACTGAGGACTCGCTCAGCCACACTCA